ACTGATTCTAAACTCTTGATGTCTCTCATAAGTTTCGTAGTCTAGGTTTTATCTTTGATTCTACTATGTCTCTCTCTTCTCAGATTAATAGTGTTGCTAGAAGCTCTTACTTTCATCTACGTAGAATAAAAAAACTTTTGCCTTTTCTTGATGATCTAACTCTTCTCCTTCTTGTTACTTCGTTAGTCTTATCTAGGATTGATTATTGTAACTCGCTCTACTATGGTCTTCCTGACTCTATACTCTATCCTTTAAGTAAAGCTTTTAACTCTGCTGCTCGTCTAGTTGCTCGTACCCCTTTCTTTTCTCATATATCTCCATATCTTGTTCTCTTGCACTGGCTACCTATAAAACATAGAATAATTTTTAAAATTTGCACGTTCATGTATAAGTCTCAATCTAAATTATTTCCTAAGTATTTATCAGATATATTAATTGAACCTAAACGCCCCGGTTTACGATCGTCTTCTTCTTCTCGCTTTTTCTTAACTCGTGTTAAACACTCTTTTGCCAAATCTGCTTTTGCTTTTTCTGGTCCTTTTCTCTGGAACTCTCTACCTACTTCTCTAACTACTTCTCCATCACTTGCGAAGTTCAGAGCGGATCTCAAGACCCATCTGTTTTCAAAATTCATTGAGGAGCGCTGTTGAACATCGCGGAAATAGCGCTTTATAAGCTAATTGATTGATTGATTGATTGATTGATAGATGTAGCGTTAGCACCCATTAGAATGAACAATATTAAGCAAATTTTTAACAATTTAATTCTAGAATACAATGGCTTCAAATTAAATGTTTAAAATTCAATTCTAAAACATAAAAATTCATTTTTTATATGTAAATCTGAAGTGCATACAAGGACTGCGGCCCGCGGGCCGTAGTTTGCCCACCCCTACATTAGATGATGGCTACAGGATTGATGTTGTGTACACGGATTTTGAAAAGGCTTTTGATAGAGTGTCACATGGTATTTTAGTTGAAAAAATGAAAGAGTACAGATTGAATGATAGATTGATTACTTGGGTAAACAGTTATTTAAGTGGAAGAACATTCAGAGTGAGATTGAATGATAAAATGTCTAGATATTGTATAGTGTTAAGTGGGGTTCCTCAAGGGAGTGTGCTGGGTCCTATATTATTTCTTTTATATGTTAATGATGTGTTTAATTTGTATAAATATGCAAAAGGTCCGGCAATGTATATGTATGCAGATGATGCAAAATTGTACAGAATTGTTAGCTCAGATGATGATACTGATAGAATGGTATTAAAAAATGGGTTAAATGACTTGACTAGTTGGTTGGTGTGCAAAGAAATCAAAAGCCTTCTCAAAAAGAAAAAAAATGTGTGGTAATGAAATATGAGTATAACATACCTGAAAATAATTTTCAATATAAAATTGGTCACCATACATTGGATAATGTCGATAGTATTAAGGACTTAGGTGTAATATTTGATAATATTCATAACAATGTTAAAAAACCTTATTCTTTGTTAGGTTTAATAATTAGAAACTTTAAAGGTGTTAGTGATCATATTTTTATAATGCTTTATAAATCATTAGTCAGATCTCAACTAAAGTATGCAGCTTGTGTTTGGTCTCCGTGGACAGTACGGGAAACAGAGGTGATAGAAAGGGTCCAGAAAAGAACAACGAAGTCGATCAAGGCCTGCAAACATATGAAATATGAAGATCGTCTAAAATTTTTGAGCTTGCCAACACTAAAATATAGACGCATTAGAGGGGATCTCATCATGATGTATAACTTGTTTAGAGCTAAAGATCAACGTGACCTCCCAGTAATGATGAAAGCTGGGAGACGAACAAAGGGACACGAAATGAAATTGACTGCTCTTCCATTCCATAAGAACTTGAGGAAACAATATTTTATCAATAGATCAATTTGTATCTGGAACAATCTGGGTGTCGATGTTGTGAATGCTGATAATGTGAATGATTTTTAAAAAAAGTTGGATACTTATCTTATGAATGCCAGATTTATGTATGATTGGAGGGCAAATGATACTTGATGTGAAATTGGCTATTTGTGAGACTGGGATATATTCAATTTTTTTTTTGAGTTAACGAACAATATTTTGCTAGTTTCAATTTTGTTAAAAAGATATTGTCAATTTTAATAAAAATGCATTTCAACAATGTCATTCAGAATCATTTTTCCGACAAACTTGGGGTGATTTTTAGATTTTGTTATTTGACGCATTGTTCACAAATAATGGGATCATAATTGCTCAAAATGAAACATAAAAAAAATTTGTTAAACATGTTGCACTCTTAATGTTCTGATAACAATTTTGAGATATTGAAAATGTTGAATTTAACGTGATAGTGAACGGCAATAAACAAAATTAACTGGGTAATTTTCGAAATGCACACATTTAAAAGTTTTGACTATTACTGGCTATTATTTGTTTTGATTTTTTTATTATTATTTTATTACTTTTTCAAAACACACAGGCAACCGCACAAATAAAACACGCACACCACACACACAAACACACACATACATACATATTTTTATATAGCTCAATGGTTAAAGGCGCCTGATCTTGCTATTGCTATGACTGGGTTCGAATACAAAGAGATTTCCGCCTATCATATGCAATGTGTATGATGCGTGGTTTGCAAACGCAAAAGAGAGAGAGAAACCTTTAACCTTTTAACCTTTATACACACACACACACACACACACACACACACATATATATATATATATATATATATACATACATATACATATATATATATATACATGAAAGGCACTGGCAATGACTTAAATGGTAATGTTAATTTTGGTTGTTGTAATGATGGTCATGGTCTTGATGGTGGTGGTTATTCGATGGTCTGTGGTACTGGAAGCGATCTGAACGTTATTGGTAAAAATGGTTGTGGTAAAGATGATGGTAGTGATTGCGTAATAACAAATGGTGCCGGTAATGATTGTAATGAAAGTGGTGGTTTTAATGATTTTAAAAAAGTAGGTAATAACAATGTAATGAAAGGTGGTGCTGTTGGTAGAAATATTGGTGGAATCAAAAATGATCGTACTAATAATAACTTTTGTGTGGTTAAAATAAAATTGGGTTTACTAAATATAAGATCGATTGGCTCAAAGTACAACATCATTTATGATTTGATCAGTGATGGTTTGGATATTTTTGTTGTTACTGAATCATGGCATGGTTCATCAGAAAATCCCTCCATTGCGTTATCTACTCCTCCCGGTTACCGCTTTGTAGATTGTGTAAGAGATCACGACCCTCTCCATGGCGGATTGATAATATTTTTTCGTCTATGTTTAAAATGTAAAAAAATAGCATTACCTACAGTTACCACATTTGAAGTTTTGGCGGTCAGGTTCACAGTTAATAGTCAGGAGTTTATTTTGCTCGCTATTTACAGACCGGGTTCTGCACAGCTGTCCGGATTATTTTTTAAAGAACTGATTTCTATTCTGGAAAACATTACAGTACTCAGTTCTTGAATTATTTTAACCGGGGACTTCAATGTGCACGTTGAAAAGACGAATGATCCTCATGCTGCTAATTTAAATGAAATCTTCGATAATTTTCAACTCATCAATCGTGTAAAAGCACCAACACATTTACGTGGTGGTACACTAGACTTTATAGTAACCTCCGAGGATTTTCCAGTTCATGATTGTTTAGTCCATCCAAGTGGAATTTATTCTGATCATAGTTTTATTTGGGTTGAACTGTCGATGACTCAAGGATATTTGGTTGGAATTAAAAAAGTTTCTAAAATGTGGAATCAGATGAATGTTGATGACTTCATCAAACTCGTGCTTGAATCTCCCCTCTCCAAATCATGTCAAGGCAATGAGGTAGACAAGGAATTGCATTTATTTAACAACGAGTTAAAATCTATTGCTGATAAAGTTGTCCCTATTCGTGCAGTGACCGCCAATAACGTTCGTATGGCTCCGTGGTTTGATAATGATTGCAGGTTGGCCAAGCGTTTGTGCAGAAAAATGGAAAGAAGATACAGAAAAAGTTCACAGTTGATTCATCAAGATGAATGGAAGACTGCGTTGAAGAATAAATCGGAACTTTTCTCTAAAAAACGTCGTCAGTATTGGACAAAAATTGTTGATGAAAATAAGATGAAACCAAAAAATATTTGGCGGGTTGTGAACAGCATTCTCTGTAGGGGTCGTAACGATAAATCCTGCTCGGATATGGATGAACTAACACCTGATCGATTTATGTGCTATTTTAATGAAAAGTTAAGCAAGCTGAGAGATAGTGTCAACAACGATGCTCAACTGAGCCTGGCGGAATTCCAATCAGGTGTCAGTAATAGTTTGTTCTCAACGTTTTCTATGGTTTCTGAAGAGGAGGTAATACAGTTAGTTCAAAATTCACCTACAAAGTCGTGTCAACAAGATGTAATACCTACCCACGTATTAAAGAAGTTTATAAAACTATTCGCACCATTTTTGGCAGGCCTGATAAACAGCAGTTTAAATGTGGGACAGTTTCCTTCTGGCTGCAAGCATGCTATCATAACTCCGCTGCTGAAGAAACATAATCTAGACGAAAATGATGTTGGAAACTACAGACCAATTTCTAATCTGTCTTTCCTATCCAAAATTATCGAACGTGTGGTTGCCAGGCAAACACTCAGTTACTTGAACAATAACAATTTATTGCCGAAATATCAATCTGGATTCCGTCAGTACCATTTGACAGAAACTGCTCTTTTGCAAGTTTTCTCAGAAGTGTACGGGACAATTGATGAACAAAATGTGGCAATGCTAGTCTTTCTTGATATGTCATCCGCATTTGATTGCGTAGATCTCAAAGTACTTTTAACAAGACTACGTTGCAGTTTTGGAATCTCTGGTGCTGTTCTGAGGTGGTTTGAGTCGTATCTGGTAGGTAGATCACAACAGGTATCATTCGGTGGGAAATTATCTGAGGTTAATGTTATGCTGTCTGGTGTGCCACAAGGTTCGGTTCTAGGTCCTATTCTGTTCTTGATCTATACATCTGAAGTACTAAAGATAATAGAATCATTTGGTTTTTCAGGTCATGCTTTTGCGGACGACTTGCAAATTATTGTTACGAGCAGGCCAGATTCTTTTAAATCAGAATTGGACAAACTGGTTAAATGTTTGTCTGGGGTCAATAAGTGGATGCAAAACAATGGTTTAAAACTAAACCAAAACAAGACTGTTTTTTTACCAATTGGAACATGGCAACAACTTTCAAGAATAGATATAAATTCAATAACTGTTAATGATGAGGTCATCGCATTTTGTCAGACAGCAACTAATCTGGGCTTCACGATTGATTCAGGTTTGTCAATGAAACAACACATTAAGAAGCTCTCAGCCGAATGCATGTTCCAAATCAGGAAAATCAATCAAATTTGACGATCCCTAGATACATCCACGTTGCAGACGTTGGTTCATGCATTTGTGCACTCACGCGTCGACTATTGCAACAGTTTGTTTTATGACTTACCTGATCGATCCATGGCTGTACTTTAATCAATACAAAATCGAGCCGCAAAAGTTGTTGTTGGAGCTCTAAAATACGATCATGTGTCTCCAATATTGAAGGAACTAACCGTCGACAAAAGAGTGTTGTTCAAAATTTCAACACTTGTCTACAAGTCTATCAACGGTCTAGCTCCATCTTATTTGTCTGACAGGTTCAAAAAGAGATCTTCAAAAGCATCTGGAACACACTTGAGATCCGATGTTTCAAACCTACTGTTGATCCCAATAACGAGTCTCCGTATAGCCTCTCGTAACATTGCTGTTTCTGGACCAACTGTTTGGAACAACCTGCCTGCTGCTTTTAAAAATCCGGACCTAAACCTGCGCGATTTCAAGAAGAAACTGAAAACTCACTTATTTTCATTGTGATGCATTACTGATCGATTCTTTCTGTTTAGTCGACATGTTCTAAATATTATTTCGTATTTTCGTTATATTGAATCGATTACTTTTCTGTTTATGACCAAATTTTAATCTTAATTCTGTACGATGTACTATGATTTCTCGTTTGTTATTTCAATTATGTTGTTAAGTTCAGTTTTTGTTAGATAGCGCTTTTGAGATTCCTATAATTAGCGCTTCATAAATGTTTCAATAATAATATATATATTATATGTAATATATATATATATATATATATATATATATATATATATATATATATAATATTATATACAATTATATATATATATATTATTATTATTGATGATAATAATAATATATATATATATATAATTGTCCACCGTGGCCATTGAACTCCAAGCAATATTTTTTAGTATAAAATATTCCGCAACATCTTTAAAACCAGGTACGAGGTTCTCAGCGATACAAACTTCATTAAATATTTTTGCCCATTTTGCGTTGATTAGTTTTTTACCAATAGATTCAACATTTCGCATTTGGGTTAAATCATATTTATTAATCAAATGACACAAGTACAAAGAAAATAACAACCCAGCCAAACTTCACTGGTTTTTAAGGCCTCGGAGAATGTTGTCTTGTTTCAACTGATTGGTCCAAAATTTGTAGTAAGTGTTCATTTAGTTAATTAATTAATTTAATTTATTATTTACTCAAAACAACACTTGCTAATTGGCTAATTTCTGTTTTATGTTTAAAAATACGGAGATCATGAATGTGATAGAAGAAATTATTTTATTTTGTCAACAGAATTAAACTACTTGAATTGAAAGACAAAATGCGTTTTTCACAGCATTTATGTTTAATATCAATTTTACATATCACTCTGATTAAAAGGCTTTGGCGTCGGTAGTTGTGCAAGTCAATTTCGCCAAGCGGTCCTACTACATCAGGGTCTACGATTTTTATGTTGGTCACATTTTCCTTCTTGCTTATTTACTCTTGCAGTTATTTTCATTATTTTTATTTCAGATTTTGCTTAACTAATTGAATTTTTTCAGCATCATTTGTATTCGAACATTTATAAGCAGCTAATTAAATTGTAATTTTTAATTTTTGTGACAGTTGGTAACTGTTTTATAATATTGAACTCTAAAAATTATTTTTTACATTTTATTTATTTGATTAATTTCAAGTAACTTAAAACCAGTTAAACTATTAAAAATCAGTTGAACTATGAAAAACAAGTTAAACTATTAAAAGCCGGTTGAACTATTAATTTAAATCCTTTGTTTCGAAAAAAACAGTCATTTTTCATAGCAAAAATTTGTAGGTGCATCGTGAGTTTTCTCGATATTAATATATTCGGATTTATGGTACCAACACTCACCAATATTTCATTTGAACAAATATATTAGGTGGCTATAATCCATTATCAATTCTGGCTTAGTATATTCGTAGTCTAATACTATCGTTTTCGGTTGTTGCTTGAACGTTATTTTTTATGATTTTTTTCATGATTTTTTTATCCTGTTTGAAAGCGGTTGACATGTGATTTTAATAATATATTACTTTGTTATTTTTGTTATTATTATTGGTTTCATTACTGTAATTGCTGATTTTTGTTTTTTGCGTTTTATTATTTTTTGGATTATTGAATTTTTATACCCATTATTAGAGGGTAGTTTTATACTTTTTTTTACGATCCTCCATACAAAGATTACAAATATTGCATTGCTACAATAATTACGATAACAAATAATAAAGAGTAATTTGACTATGCCAGCGGTTATAATATTACCCCCACTTTAGCCTGTTAGTCCCTAACGTAGGCGTTATTTCTTTATTCCGATGAATTTTCTAATTTGGCTAACCTGTCCAAATGAACAATCTTCTTCTTTACCCGCTGTTTCTCATGTTTTTGGATTCTGTAAACCACGTCGATTATTCTGTTAATAACTTTTTACGGGCCTTCCCAATTTTTTTGGAGTTTTTGCCAGTTCGTTTTTGTAAAACCCTGAACTACTACTCGTGGAGGCGTGAGTGGCACTATGATATGCCATTAAGAACAGGGTTATCTGCCGGTCCCAGTCTTGATGGTTTTCTTTGACTGGCAAGTTCTTGATGATGGTTTGATTGAAGCGCGCCACTATTCTGTCGGACTGTAGATGGAGTGGCGTTTTTCAGGTTTTGTTGATTTCTAGGACCCGGCACATTTCTCCAAATAGTTGCGTTTCAAAGAAATTTTTTTAGAATTCGATCTAGAGTTTTGTTGACCTCCCTTGTTTTAATTAAATTTACAAGTTCTTTTAAGTTTATTGCTTCAGAAAATAAAACATTAAATAAACGAACTATTTCATTTAAGTTAATTGCTTTAGAGAAAAAAACAGTATTCAATATACAATTTTTAATTAATTGAAACAAAAATATTAAAAAAGTTCAGAAATTAAAATTATCAGCCAATCAACGTGAATAATTCATTATGTCAGGATTGGCATAATTTTCCACAATTCTTTAAATGCGTGTGGCAGTATCAAAATAGCTCTTTTTCGTTGCTGTATCGTCTTCACCGGCGAGATATTGTTCAATTTTTCCTTCGTTTAGTGCAAAATTTCATTCAAATAAATTTCAAAACAGTCGGGTGACTTGCTCCAACTAATTTGCCAAAGGCTCTATGCCATCTTTCGCAAGAATTATTACTTTTTAGGACGCCCATTAATTCAGCATTCTAGCAATTCCACAGTTCGTATCGAAAACGGGGAGGCCTTTTTTGACGACACGTTAGACTGGACAATCCATGTGTCCTCAAAATAATTTTTGACTAGCCCTGTTTCAACTGGAGATTTTTCTGATAGACGTGCAAAGTCAATCATAATCAAAGCTGAAGCCAAATGGAGCTTTAAGCAAATAAGTTTTTGCTGGTAATAATGCGAAAACCGCAGAGATGACAGGTCGCCATCTATACCATGAATAGTGTATAGTTAAATTATCTTTTTAGTATGGCCCCATTTAGTGAAAACCTTGAAGCATATTATTATCTAACTTTAGTTATAAACTAGATCAAAGTTTAATTTTTTCAGAAAAAAACTAAATTTATATTTGTTTTTATAAAATTTTTAAGATCAATTCAATAACAACATTTTTCATGCTGAAATTTTTTTTCAAACATCAAACATTAATTTAAAAAATGGAATTAAAATTTCAAATTTTTTCATTCAAAAAATTCTCTCCAATGCATTCGCCATTCTTCCAAATAATTGACTGATCCCACTCGGCATGAACAATGATTATCTGTCATTGCTACTTTTTACCAGGTACAGGAAGACAAACACCACCAATTTCAAAAAATAATGGTAGTCCCGGGCAAGTACGTTTGGAGATCTCTTGAGTAACATGATCGTCAGATTCAGCGCTAACCAGGATATAATCTGATAAAACTTTTTATGATAAAATAAATTTAAAACGTTGTATAAAATTAAAACGTTTCAACCAGACGTGTTTTTAAAAATTATGTATGTAAAATCGCTGGAAGGTTTGCAATGTTGTCATTTTTTAGGTGGTTATGTATCTAACAAAACATTGTTGAAAATAATGACCTGCAAAATTTCAACAAAAACAAACAGAAATATGGTAGAGGAAGGAGACCAAGACAAAAAGCATTTTATGGAAGCAGAAAATATATATAAGAGTGTAGTAGTTTGAGTCATTTTTGGATGTAGTCGATGTATTGGAAGATCACTGTTTCATTGCTAGATTTGTTAAATAAATAACCAATTGGTTTATTGATCATATATTTATAAACTATTTTAAAAACTAATTTATTTGAAGTTACATTATAAATTACGAAGGAAGACAAACATACCCGCAAGAGCAAATACAACGAGGACAGCGATGAGAAGGAGAGATAGGAACATCATGAAATTTTTCTTTCAGCATTAAAATGTATTGTCCAAATACCTATATTTATACTAAAAATTTTACAATTTTTACATGAAACATTATTAAAATCTGTTATTCATTTCAAAAGTACGTTGCACTTTTAATGCCCAGTTTATTGCGATACATTTGGAATGTTAAATTAGGCGTGACGTTGAATGGCCATTGAAAATTTAATGAGCCATATTTGCAATTCAAAAATGTGAAAAAAATTTCATACAAGCACACGCTCACGCACACACATACACATATGCACACGCACACACACACACACACACACACACACATATATATATTACATATTATATATATATATATATATATCTATTATATATATTTAATTAGTATATACTTTTAGAATAACATATAATAGAAAACAAATTAATAAAAAATAATAATTTTTCATTTGATGTTTGTTGGGAATTTGAATTTCAAGATTAATTTATTGCGAATGTTAAATGAAATGTGATGTTGCCAATCAATAAATAAATTGACCGTGAAAATTATTCATTACATCGGCGCAATATCTGCTCCACTTTATTCATCAAAGTCTCCATCTTAATTCTTTCTCGTCATTTTCATGTTCATTTTGTTCTTTTTCAAAGCTGCCTTCAAGTATGTCTACCTTGTCTATGGTATTTTACAAAAAGTGTCAAGAAGGATTTTGATGTTGTTTAATTAAAATTTGAATTTTCCCATTTAAAACAACTTTTTATCCAACTTTCAAATTTAAATCGCTTGAATTTAAAATTTTCCTTTATAAACCATTGATCAGGTAATAGTTAATTTTTTTTTGAATTTTAACTTTCACTCACTCTCAACCCTCACAAAATAGTTTCATTAATAAGAGAAAATTAAAATTTGAATGTTCCTCGGAAATGTAATAAACCAGCACAGATGGGAGCACATACAGGTTGAAAGATCGTGTGGAGGAAGTGCCAGAAGATTTTTCATTGGAGAATGTACGTTCAGGTGGATCACATGCTCTCCATCATTGCGTTTCCTGCATATTCATGATCACGATGCTGCTGGCCCTCCTCTTTGGCATTTGGAGCAAACAATCGCTTCAGGGACTTCGAAACAAGATGTTGGTGCTTGTGCCGTTAAAAAAAATTCCATTTTTAAAACGTTTCATAATTGCCCAATTTCATTTTGCCGCTCACAAGAGCGGTGCAAGAATCTAAATTTATATTATGATTTGTCAGGAATGTACACAAGATTCGTACGGATTTAATATTTCAAAGTGCGCACATTCGCTGAGCAATTGTTAACAATAAATGAGCCCAAATATAAATAGCGGTTTACATCAAAGCCGCAAACCGTGATGGGAGGATCCGTGCACAATCCCAATGCTACACTTCCTTGACACCAGTGATGGGTTAACTACCACAAAAAAGGAGTGAACTACCGTAGTTAACTACTTGACTAAAAACATAGTTAGTAACTAGTTTTTAACTACTTTCAAGAAAAGTAGTTATTAACTACTTCTTATTAATTAACTACTTTTTAACTATTTTTAATTTTTATTATTAAAAAACCCTTCTGAAAAATTTATGTATGTTGTATATTTGTATATAACCATCACATATTTTCTTTTTTAATAAATTTTTTTTTAATGTGTGTTTAAGATGATTTCTCAAAAAAATCATTTTATTGGTATGATCATCAGACAATCTACAGCGTTTATCAGCTAGAATTTGTCCAGCAACACTGGAAAGACGCTCAACCACGGCAGAATTAGGTAATGTTGAATTTAGTTTAATGAAACTTGCACATACTGATAGATAGGAAAATAAACTTTCAATATTCTTAGATGGGTTAGCCAAGTAACTGTTGAATTCAGTCAACACACGATCTGAAGAATTTTGATTATTTTCCAGGTAATCATACAAATTATCGATATTTATTTGCTAAGGTTCGCTTTTTTTAGATGACGAAGGTACAGGGCTCACTGGTTTGCAATCTGCGTGTAATGTAAATAAATAAATAAACATTTACCAAAAAAAAATTTCAACCAATGTTTGACTTCAAATCATTAAAAAACAAAAGTTAATTTGAATATGTATTTATCAGTTGCAATTTGCAAATTGCAATTTCTCTGTTTATATTTTCTATATATGCCAACAATTTTCCTTCAAAAGTATTCCGTTTGTTTTCACGGTGATCTTTATAAATAATTGTTATATATAATCGTATATTATTGATTAAAATCACAATGTTCAGGGTTGGTTAACTTCCAATTTAATTTTTAAATTTTTTTAAAGGTTGATCGTAAATCATTTTCAAGTTCCTTTAGTTCAAAACCAAAATTTTTGGTTATTTTATGCATGATAGAACAGAAAAATTTTTTTCGGTATTCATATACCATCTTCGGTGTTCAAATTGATATGTTGTCGTTCTGCCTAGGTGCTCAAATATTTTTACACTGTGTTTATTGGTTCTATGTTTGGTCAAAGTGAATATTTAAATTTACAATCTTCACGTCGTAAAATATAGCACTTTTACGTGTTTTCGTTATCGATAATTTTATTCACTTGGCGGACGGGCACTCGTGTATGGTGTTTCCATCGTTTGTTTCTATTTCCCGAATAATGGGTTCTATTTCTTGCCGGTGTTTCCCATCTATTTCGTCAGTTCATTAATTTAATTCATCCGTTTTCTTGTCCATTTTCTTGCTAAATTTCTGGTGTATTTTATCAATTCTTTCTTTCACTTCCACCTTGACGTTTATTGACTGTTGTTTCAAGTCTTCCAAACAAGTTTCTGATGGATAACACGGTCGCCAGCATAACCATGAATTTTGTATAGTTACCTTACTTTTTTGTGGCCAACCCATTTTTTGTAGACCTTGAGGCACCTTTTAATCTAGCTCTTGTTATAAACTAGATCAGAGTTCAATTTTATTTTAAATCTAAATTTATTTCTATTTCTATAGTCTTTATTTTAGATCAAATCTATGAAAACTTTTTTTTTCTGAGTTTTCTTTCAAACATCAAATATTAATTTGAAAAATTTAATTAAAATTTCAAAATTTTAAAATAAAGAATTTTCTTCGTTGCATTCGTCAATCTTTCAATTAGTTGACGGATAACACCTGACATAAACAATGATCATCTGTCACTGTCACTTTTTACCTGGTACCAAAGGAAGACACAAACCCTTCCCAAAGTCAACAAAGAAAGGTGGACAAGCACGTTTGGAGATCCCTTGAGTAGCATGGTCGTCAGATTCAGCGCTCACTAGGATATAATCTGACAAAACTTTAAAAGATAGAGTGAGTTTTAAAAATTTTCATAAAATTAAAATGTTTCGACCTGACTGACGTGTTTTCAAAAATTATGTAAGAAATATTGCTAGGAAGGTTTGCAATGTTGATATTTTCATCAAATGCTTATGTGTCTAAGAAAACAAAGTTGATAATAATAAAATAACGTTTAACAGTTTTTACATGCAGAAACCTGCAAAATTTTAACAAGATATAAGCAGAAATATGGTAGCGGAAAGAAACGGGGTCAAAAAACGTTTATGAAAGCAGAAAATATACATAAGACTGTGGTAGTTGGAGTATTTTTTTTGTATGTAGTCAAAATATAGGATCATAGTTTCATGGCTAGATTTGTTAAATAAACATTATTCATTCATTGATCATATATTTCTAAGTATAAAAAATTAAATTATTCTAAGTTACATTATAAAATATATAAAAAGTCAAACATACCCGCAAGAGCAAACACGGCGAGGACAGCGATGAGAAGGAGAGATCGGAACATTGTGAAATTTCTCTTTCAACGTTGAAATATATCGGCCACATAGCTTTATTTATACCAAAAATGTCACACGTTCTACATAAAAATTAATAAAATTTTTTACTCATTTCAAAAACACGTTGCGCATTTGATGTTCAGTTAATTGTGATATATTGGGGATGTTAAATTAAGCGTGACCGTGAATGATCATTTAAAATTTTCATACAGGCAAACATATGCACACAAATGCAAATATATATATATACATATGCACACAAATATATATATTTATATAATTATTTATAAATATAAATATATAAATAAATATATATATATATTTATATATATTTATATTTTTACAATATTCTATAAATTCTACCGAATGTTTGGCGTTAATATGTTTGTAGTTTGTTTTTTCGATTTTTCTCACTAAAGTTTTTTGGTGAACGTTTAGTTTATTAAAGTTCAAAATAAACTTATTTTTCGAATTCATGCTGCAAATAAGGCCATATTTCGATTCCGAATGAATCATCATCAGTGCTCCTTGCTGTATATATAGGGAAATATTGACTTTGTCAAAATGAACTTTGACGTTGTAAAAATTAACTTTGGTGTTGTAAAATTGAACTTTGATGCGAATTAGTTGTCAGGTTGATATGTTGTCGTTCTGCCTAGGTGCTCAAATATTTTTACACTGTGTTTATTGGTTCTATGTTTGGTCAAAGTGAATATTTAAATTTACAATCTTCACGTCGTAAAATATAGCACTTTTACGTGTTTTCGTTATCGATAATTTTATTCACTTGGCGGACGGGCACTCGTGTATGGTGTTTCCATCGTTTGTTTCTATTTCCCGAATAATGGGTTCTATTTCTTGCCGGTGTTTCCCATCTATTTCGTCAGTTCATTAATTTAATTCATCCGTTTTCTTGTCCATTTTCTTGCTAAATTTCTGGTGTATTTTATCAATTCTTTCTTTCACTTCCACCTTGACGTTTATTGACTGTTGTTCTATCTAGTCACTTCAACCTTTTAGTGTCTCTGACATTTCAATTACCTGTAATTTCATCGCGGCTGCCAATTTTTTTAATTTGGCAAGCTGTTCTTCGATCTTGTCGCTTTGTTGATCAAGATAGCCTTCGCTTTTTATGAGTCGAAGTTATGTTGGAATGAAGTTAATGAAGCGATAATGAAGTAGATGTAAAATTCAAATTGCCTTTATTTGAAAAGATGCTAGAAAAAAAAGACATCTCGTAACTTTGGTCATGGGTGATGATTTCACAATAAACCAGGTAATTTAGTAAGAAGTTGGTTTGTTACCGCACATAGATTGGTGCACTAAAATGCTCATACAAAATTTCAAGTTTATTTAATAAGTTTCTGATGTTGATAGTGCAAAAACCGCAAGGACACACAGTCGCCAGCATAACCATGAATTTTGCATAGTTACCTTATTTTTTTGTGGCCAACCCATTTTTTGTAGACCTTGAGGCATCTTTTAATCTAGCTCTTGTTATAAACTAGATCAGAGTTCAATTTTATTTTAAATCTAAATTTATTTCTATTTCTATAGTCTTTTTTTTAGATCAAATCTATGAAAACTTTTTTTTCTGAGTTTTTTTTCAAACATCAAATATTAAGTTGAAAAATTTAATTAAAATTTCAAAATTTTAAAATAAAGAATTTTCTTCGTTGCATTCGTCATTCTTTCAATTAGTTGACCGATAACACCTGACATGAACAATGATCATCTGTCACTGTCACTTTTTACCTGGTAGCAAAGGAACACACACATCCTTTCCAATGTCAACAAAGAAAGGTGGACAAGCACGTTTGGAGATCCCTTGAGTAGCATGGTCGTCAGATTCAGCGCTCACTAGGATATAATCTGACAAAACTTTAAAAGATAGAGTGAGTTTTAAAAATTTTCATAAAATTAAAATGTTTCGACCTGACTGACGTGTTTTCAAAAATTATGTATGAAATATTGTTAGGAAGGTTTGCAATGTTGATATTTTCATCAAATGCTTATGTGTCTAAGGAAACAAAGTTGAAAATAATAAAATAACGTTTAACAGTTTTTACATGCAGAAACCTGCAAAATTTTAACAAGATATAAGCAGAAATATGGTAGCGGAAAGAAACGGGGTCAAAAACGTTTTTGAAAGCAGAAAATATACATAAGACTGTGGTAGTTGGAGTATTTTTTGTATGTAGTCAAAATATAGGATCACAGTTTCATGGCTAGATTTGTTAAATAAACATTATTCATTCATTGATCATATATTTCTGAGTAAGTATAAAAAATTAAATTATTCTAAGTTACATTATAAAATATATAAAAAGTCAAACACACCCGCAAAAGCAAACACGGCGAGGACAGCGATGAGAAGGAGAGATCGGAACATCGTGAAATTTCTCTTTCAACGTTGAAATATATCGGCCACATAGCTTTATTTATACCAAAAATGTCACATGTTCTACATAAAAAATTAATAAAATTTTTTACTCATTTCAAAAACACGTTGCGCATTTGATGTTCAGTTAATTGTGATATATTGGGGGTGTTAAATTAAGCGTGACCGTGAATGATCATTTAAAATTTTCATACAGGCAAACATATGCACACAAATGCAAATATATATATATACATATGCACACAAATATATATTTATGTGCATATGTATATATAGGGAAATATTGACTTTGTCAAAATGAACTTTGACGTTGTAAAAATTAACTTTGGTGTTGTAAAATTGAACTTTGATGCGAATTAGTTGTCAGGTTTCTTTATTGGCTGGTCATCTTCTTTGGTCTCCTTTTCTTTATCGATGGCATCATATTCTTCTTTGTCACTATTTACAATATTTCCCTATATATACAGCAATGAGTCCTTAGCCGTTTTTTGAATTCATTTCGATTCTTGATGTTGAAATTCTTTAGATCAGCAGGCAACGCATTCCAAATCTGGGCAGATGCTACTGAAAATCTTCTTTTTCCAAAATGAGAAGTTATGAACTTAGGAATGTGTAGGTCACCGCGGCTTGATGATCGTAGTTGACCCCTATATTGAATCTCTGATACTGAATAAATCTATATATATGATAAAAGATGATAAAAGTCTCGTTAGAAAAATTGTGAAACTCAACTATAAGTTGAGTTTATATATATATATATATATATATATATATATATATATATATATATATATATATATATATATATATACGGTATATGTAAGATATACGGATATACGGTAAGAAGACAATAGTTTGTAATTGAATGATAAAAAATAGCACATTTGCAATGGATATATTTTTATCAAATGAAACTACTATGCGTGTGTGTGTGTGTGTATGTGTGTATGTGTGTGTCTTTGCGCGCACGTTTGTTAATATAGTCAAATTATAGTAAAAATAATAATTTTAATTTTTTAAGTTTTTTATATTTTATTTTCAAATAATGTCTAAATAAATTTTCAATGTTCGTTCTCTACCACGGCTTATTTGACAACAGCAATATATCATAATTAACTGAAGATCAAAAATGCCACATGTTTTTGAAAAGAGTAATAAATTTCCTAATGTTTCAGGTAAAAATTGTAATATTTTTCACGGTATTCCGATCTCTCCTTCATTTCGTTGTCCTCGCTGTATTTGCTCTTGCTGGTATGTTTGACTTTTTTTGTATTTTATAATTCAATTTTTAAAAAATGAAGAAGAAAATGAACTTAGAGTCATCATCCATGAAAGCACATAAAACCTTGAAACAATGTACTGTGATTGCGACCAAAGGAAATCAAATACTTGGATTTATTAAAAGAGCAGTGGTCAGCAGGGAGAAGTTGATCATTCTAAATCTGTACAAAAATTTAATTTGACCCCATTAACTTCTGTGCTCAAGTTTGGAGTCAAGAAGGACAAGGACATTGTGGAGAAAGTGTGCAGCGAAGAGCAACAAAGATGATCAGAGGACGTAAATATCGTGACTACAATGATAGATTGAAAGAATGTGGATGGACAAAACTAGAAACAAGAAGTTGTAGAGAAGATGTGATACAGGCATACAAATTGGTTAACAAGAAAAAAAACACTGTTTATCAGATTTTTTTTAAACTGGAAAATAGAATAAGATTACGAGGCTACAGATATACGCTTTCCAAAAAATAAAAAGTGACACCAAGCAAAGGCTCATCAGCAATAGAGTAATGGATGAGATGGTCTCCTCAAAATCAATCAACAGTTCCAAGATTAAGCCCGGTATTTTACGATATTAGGACACTAATCTTGCAGTAGTTCTTACAAAGACTCTATTCCACTGAACCACTTTAAACCCTGTTATGCTATGTTATGTTATGCATATCCAATCTACTAACCACTATAAATACGGAGATCATGAATGTGATAGAAGAAATTATTTTATTTTGTCAACAGAATTGAAAGACAAAATGTGTCTTTCACAGCATTTATGTTTAATATCATTTCCGCATATCACTCTGATTGAAGGGTTTTGACGTCGGCAGTGGTGCAAGTCTATTTGGCCAATCCACCATTCCAAAATGGAGCAAGAGGTACGTTGGAGTGGCAACATTCATCAAGGATTATGGCATGCGGTCCTACCACATTAGTCTACGATTTTTATGTTGGTCACATTTTCTTTCTTGCTTATTTACTCTTGCAGTTATTTTCATTATTTTTATTTCAGATTTAGCTTAACTAATTAAATTCTGTCAGCATCGTTTGTATTCGAACATTTATAAGCAGTTAATTAATTTTTAATTTTTGTGACAGTTTTTCACCGTTTTATAACATTGAACTCTGAAAATTATCTTTCACATTTTATTTATTTGATTAAATTCAAGTAACTTCAAACCAGTTAAACTACTAAAACCAGTTGAACTATGAAAAAAGGAGTTAAACTATTAAAAACCGGTTGAACTATTAATTTAAACCATTTGTTTCAAAAAAAAAACAGTCAAGGTAGATGATGTTTGAGCAAGAGTTGTACAATGAGTTGAATACAGTCCTCAGATCTTTCTTCCATTCATTTGATACTGACGTCAGTTTCAATGGTTTCATGATATATTTATTTTTCTTTTTCCTATAAGGATTTTATACTGAGTCACTGAACGGGAAATGTATATTTGATTTCAAACAGCAACTTTTATGCACTGATAATATGAGGTCGATGGCTGATAGTGATGATTATATGAGTAGGAGAGATTTATTTCTTTGAAAATAATGATTATACAGCGTTACATCTTCCATCGTAACCTGCTGGCTAATTTTTTGACGGGACCGCCCAGCTGGTTTGAATTTCTGCAACGATGAGGAAGCCCAACTCTTCAGTACTGTTTTCCTTAATAACTTAAGCAAGAAAGAGCGGAGAAGATCTGGTCTGTTTACGTTTATTTTTAATTTTTCTGTTTCTCATTCATATTTTTCTTTTGTGTGAGTGTAATCTATTTTTATTAAAATAAATATGAATGTGGAGTTTTGGGTTATAAATCATTAGAATTGAAGTCATAACTAATTATTGAGCAAATTCTGTTATGTCTATTTGAATTGAACTCTTTAATGCTCATAGTGAAATTGCTTGTGTTAGCATATGAAACTGAATTTTAAAGCAGCTTTTTAGAGTTTAATTTTTTAAATGAAATTTCAATAACTGCATCACAATATCAAATTCATTAATTTATAATGTACATAATCATTTCATAATTTTTATGATTTATTCATGTTTAAATGATGTTTCAAGATTTTAATTTTTTTTTAATTTTTTTTATTGTTTATTTTATTTTTTTTAAATTTAAATTAAAATCATGATCGAATATTTCACTAAATAATTGTGCCACTAACATTTGCATAAATAGGACAACATAGACGAACTTGAACGCAATGTCTTGAACAGGATTTTTTTTCTACAGAAACAGCCCTCCTTCATGTTCACGACCAACTTGCTAACATATGTAGAAGCCAAAATTGTGCTGTCATGGTCAGCCTGGACATTTCTGCAGCTTTTGAAACCATTATTCGTCAGATGCTTCTTGACAGACTTGATCATCTTGAGAATTAAATCATTATTCCCAAGAACGTCGTTTTGTTGACCGTGCTATCAAATTCAATGCAGTATACATATAGAACTGGCAATAATATGTCAAGCAATCCTTATGTCAGATGATCTTATTGCTTGGCGACCTGACATCCGGAAGTCTTTAGTCGTGCGGTCTTTTGCTGGTTACCTTTTCACCTTGATCCAGTAGTCACATCATTTACAACATTATTTTCTGCAGGCGTGTGAATTACGTTAGCTGGGATTTTTACTGGCACATCACGTTTTACTCAATGTGCCAGTAAAAAAATTTTAGATTCATCTACAAAAAACAGACTGACCGATGAACAACCTAGACCCAGCCATGAAGTCATTTTTTGACGAGGTAGTACTGGATAAAAACAGCAGAGACAAGGAAACAGCACAGTACATCTACAAGTTCTTGAAAGATTGTGGCGGTGTAGAAGCTTTGGAAAATGAGAGATCCAGGACCTTGCCTCCTCCTGTCATCAGCCAACCCATGCCACCACTAGCTGGTCGAGCAGGAGGTAACAAATCTCTGAGCGTTCATTCCCCAATAAAAAATCTGGCACTTCCTCCACACGAACGTTCAACTTGTATGTGCTCCGCTTCGTGAGGTAAATTACGTTTCCGAGTAACATGAAAAAGGTTATTCGCATTCATTTAAATTTAATAACATATGAAAGATAGTATTTATTTTTCAACTCCATTAAAATCCTTACCTGATAATTTTGTAAAATGCCATAGACGAGGTAGCCATACTTGAAGGTAGCTTTGAAAAAAAAACAAAAAAAAAAACATGAAAATAATTAAGATGGAGACTCCGATGAAGAAAGTGGAGCCATTAGTGTGCCGATGTAAAAAATGTTTTTCACGGTAAAATTTATTTATTGATTGGCAACATCACATTTCATTTAACATTCGCATTAATTCACTATTAAAAATTCAAATTACAAAACTTTCATTGAATAAAAATTATTGGATTTTTTAATTATATGTTTTCTATTATGTGTATTTATTAGAATCTAAGCATCTTTATACACTCATATATATAATATATGTATATATACGATATATATATATGTGTGTGTATGTGTGTGTGTGTGTGTGTGGGTGTGTGTGTGTGGGTGTGTGTGTGTGTGTGTATGCACGTGAAATTTGAACGTGAAAATTATTCATCATTTCGGCATAATATTCGCTCCATTTTTTTCGTCGGTAACTTCATTTTAATTATCTTTCTCGTCATTATCTTGTTCATAAGGTTTCAAAATTTTATATGTTGCGCAGTAAACCAAAGAAATATTTTTAGAGTTTGTTAAAGATGAAGACTGAGAAAATTTATTATGCATTTCAAAAACATTTTGTTTCTTTTTTGATCTTAAGCCAATTGCAATTTATTGTAAATGTTAAACTAATAAAAAGAAAATATTTTTTAATTTGATGTGTGATGTATATTTGAATTTTTAAGAATTTTTTTTATTTCTATTGTATTTTTTAAGATCTACTCAATAAAAACATTTTTTTTCGGAGTTTTATTCAAACATCAAATATTAAGTTAAAAATGAAATTAAAATTTCAAATGTTTTCAAATCAAAAAACTTTCTCCGTTGCATTCGTCATTCTTTCAATTAATTGACGGATAACACTTGACATGAACAGAACAATGATCATCTGTCACTGTCACTTTTTACCATAAACACACACACCCAACCCAATGTCACTATATGGAGGTGGACAACCACGTTTCGAGATCCCTTGAGTAGCATGGTCGTCAGATTCAGCGCTCACCAGGATATAATCTGACAAAACTTTAATGAAAGAGTGAGTTTTAAAAATTTTATAAAATTTAAATGTTTCGACCTGACTGACGTGTTTTCAAAAATTATGTATGAAATATTGCTAGGAAGGTTTGCAATGTTGATATTTTCATCAAATGCTTATGTGTCTAAGGAAACAAAGTTGAAAATAATAAAATAACGTTTAACGGTTTTTACATGCAGAAACCTGCAAAATTTTAACAAGAAATAAGCAGAAATATAGTAGCGGAAAGAAACGGTGTCAAAAAAACGTTTTTGAAAGCAGAAAATATTGTTATAACCGTGCTACCGAACGCACTAGATTCTAGCGTATTCTGGAATGTTCTAGTGACTGGAGCATTCTAGAGTATGCTAGAATCGGACCATCTAGAAGGATCTAGAAACGACGCTTGCGAAGAGTATATAAGCGCACGTCGCAAGAAATCTGTGATTAGTGATATTCGTGATTAGTGATATTCGTGATTAGTGATATTCGTGATTAGTGATATTCGTGATTAGTGATATTCGTGATTAGTGATATTCGTGATTAGTGATATTCGTGATTACTGAAATTCGTGATTTTGTGAATAGCGATTCGGTGAATTATTTAAAGCGATATTTGATTTGTTTGTTGACGTTGTCATAGCGATAGATTTTGAACGATTTAAAAGTTAATTGTTGCGTTAGTTTGAATTTACTAGAAATAAACGATTAGTTGATTTCTTTTGTAAATAAAGTTTAATAACTAATAATAGTTGATTTCTTCTGTAAATAAAGTTTAATAACTGTTTGGAATATTTTATTCAATCAAGAATTTGAACCCGTCGCATCGTAAATCGGTTACGACAGCGAGAATTATAACATTGGTGTCAGAACACGGGATCTTCGACCAGCGAATTACTACTCGTAGAAAAATAACAAAGTACTAGTAGCACGTCTGAGAGAAGCTCTCATTGACGAAGGTAAGAACCCAGACGAATTCAAGTTTGATGGTGCTGACGAAGACAATGAAATTAGCACAGGCACGTTTACAACCGCTAAAATGATGGAACTTCTACTTAGTATGTCAACTGAAATGAAACAGATCAAAGAACAGTCCGAACGACAGCTCGAACGACAGACAGAAGAATTAAAACAACAGACAGAGAAGTTAAAACAGATCAAAGAACAGTCCGAACGACAGTCCGAACGACAGACAGAGGAGTTGAAACAGATCAAAGAACAGTCCGAACGACAGTCCGAACGACAGACAGAAGAGTTAAAACAACAGATCAAGGAACAGTCCGAACGACAGACAGAGGAGTTAAAACAGATCAAGGACCAGCTAAAACACGTAAAATTGGAAGTGGCAGAACAGATTGAAGAACAGTCAATAAGAATAGAAATGATCGAGCAGAAACTTGATCGTCAGACCGTTGAGGTAGATCACAAGATAGACAAATTAAAGCGAGAATTGGAGCAATCCAAAAAAATGGCCATGCCGTTAGATCACGCATCCGGAAGAACTTTGAAGGTACCAGCATTTGACGGAGAGATGTCTTGGAACGTTTATAAAAACCAGTTCGAAGCAGCTGCAACTAGTAACTGTTGGAACGGAAAAGAACGATCAACAGCACTGATACTGGCCCTGCGAGGTTCAGCAGCAGAGGTTCTTCAGACGATTCCGGCGGAGAACCACTTCAACTATGAAGCTCTGGTTAGCGCGTTGGATTTACGTTATGGTGAAGAACACATGAAACAGATTTATCGATCTCAGCTTAGAAACAGAACGCAACGATCTGGTGAATCCATTCAGCAGCTGGCACAAGATATCGAACGGTTGACATTGCTGTCGTATCCAACATCAGACCCCGAGCATAGAGACGAAACTGCCCTGGATACGTTTATCAAAGCCCTTCGTGATTCGGAACTCAAGCAATCCCTTCTCTTGTCAGATAAACGAAAACTCAAGGATGCCGTTGCGCACAGTCTCACTTTTGAATCGGCAAAGCAAGCATCAAAAAGTGACGTACGTCTACGCCAAGTACATGAAGAATGCTCTTGCCAGAAGGTGGTTGTGAAACGCGAACCTCAACAGCATGGTATACTCCAATGCTGGATTTGTGGTGAAAAATGCCATCTACGTCGTGATTGTAAGCACCGCCTAAAAGATAACTACTGCCGAAATTGCGCGACAAGATGGCGCAAAAGAAGAGAAGATGATCCTGTATCACGATCGGCCCCTTCTAACGAAGGGGCGGAAAAGCTAATAAGAGCTAACTTTGTGGGGCAGAGGTTGGCTAGTAGAATTGACGCCCCCAGTACCGTAATTAACGTTTCCAGACTACATCGAAATCGAAACGACCTATGGCTGAACGGAAAAGTTGATCAACGAGAATGTGTAATTACAGTCGACACCGGAGCAACAAAATCGATTTTTGATTTGGTACCCAATCTGAAGAAAGAGACTTCTAACAAATACATCCTTCGAACAGCTACCGGATGAACAGCACAAGTCTATGGAAAGATTCTCCGTACTGTTCAGCTAGGCAACTTGTTATTCGAAGGTTCATTCTTAGTTGCGGATATCATCGACGAATGCATAATAGGTGTCGACTTTCTGACAAAATATGGGTTCAAAATTGACTTAGAAAAACACATTCTTTGATGGAAAAATACAGAAGTGATAATGGGGGATAACGACGAAAAATGTATTCGAGTGACAGTCGATTGTGACTTAGAACTACCGCAATCATCTGAAAACATCGTATGGGGCAAGTTGAATTGCGATCCTGGGGGCCACCAGTTCTATTTGATGGAGCCAACCTCAAAGACAAATGTACAGAACGCGGTCATTGGAAAATGCCTGGTAGAAGCGAACAAAAATGGTCTTATTCCTGTCAGAATAATGAATACCGCTAAACACACTATTAGAATTAAAAAAGGCGAGGAAATAGGTAATTGCCAATCAATAAATTTGGTGAAATCATTAAATATGGAGCAACAGGAAAAGGTTCTACCAACTGACAAAAGTAGACTCAAAGAACTTACCAAAAATTTACTGGATGAACTAAATTTGTATCAAGAAGACCGTCTAAAAGCCGAGGCGTTGATTGCTGATTTTGCAGACGTGTTTTCAACCGGTGACAATGACCAAGGTAAAACAGCTCTGGTAACTCACCGAGTTGATACTCAGGATTCGAAACCGATCCAACAAGTACCACGACGTCTTCCTCTAGCAAAACAAACAGAAGTAAACGAAATGATAACGACAATGCAGAATCAAGGCGTCATCGAACCGTCATCAAGTCCCTGGATTTCGCCAGTTGTTTTGGTAAAGAAGAAGGACGGCACTACTCGTTTTTGCGTTGATTATAGGAAGTTAAATGATGTGACTAAAAAGGACAGCTATCCGTTACCGAGGATTGATGACATCATGGACACCCTATCTGGCTCAAGTTGGTTCTCTACGCTTGATTTGAAAAGCGGATACTGGCAAGTAGAAATCGACAAGAACGATCGCGAAAAGACAGCGTTTTCTATCGGATCGGGGTTGTGGCAATTCACCGTCATGCCATTTGGATTGTGCAATGCTCCAGCTACATTCGAGCGACTGATGGAATGTGTATTGCAAGGTCTTAACTGGAACGACGACATAATTTAGACGACATAATTGTTCTAGGAAGAACATTTGATCAACACGTCGAAAACTTACGGGAGATCTTCACAAGACTTCAGGTGGCAAATTTAAAGCTGAACGTTAAAAAGTGCAGGTTATTTTCTAAAGAAGTTAACTATTTGGGACATGTGGTATCTTCAGATGGAGTTCGAACCGATCTCAGCAAGATAAAAATTGTGAAAGACTGGCCAACTCCAAAGGATAAAAATGAATTGCGCAGTTTTCAGGGATTGGCAACGTACTATCGACGTTTTGTAAAGGATTTTGCAAAAGTTGCCAGACCTCTCCACCAACTTACCGAGAAGGACCGAGTTTTCAACTGGAATACCCTATGCGACTGAGCATTTGAAAAGTTAAAAGTTGAACTATGTGATGCTCCTTTGCTAGCATATCCAGTTCGTGGCAAGACGTTTGTGTTAGATACTGATGCAAGTAACAACGGAATCGGAGCCGTTTTGTCACAGCATATAGACGGAAAAGAAAAGGTGCTAGCGTATTATAGCAGAGGATTCACAAACGAAACTATTGTGTGACCAGGAAGGAGTAACTAGCAATAGTCAGTGCAACAAAACACTTCCACAAGTACCTTTATGGACAGAAATTTATTCTCCGAACTGATCATGCAGCGTTAAGATGGCTCCTCAACTTCAAGGATCTTGAAGGACAGATGGCCCGATGGTTGGAGCGTTTACAAATGTACGACTTCGAGATCGTGCACCGCAAAGGAACGACTCATAGTAATGCTGATGCTCTCTCACGTCGACCATGTTTACCAGGATGCAAATATTGCTGTCGTCACCATGAGAAGATACAATCGGAAGACATAAGAGCAACAGCAATATCAGCGGATGAAGGTTGGACACCAACGGATCTTGCTGATGCACAGTTTGCGGATGAGGACCTACAACATTTGATCACATGGAAGAAGGAGGGCAAGCGACCGGACTGGCAAAGCATCTCAGAATATAGTGCCGTGTTAAAGGGTTATTGGGCTCAGTGGGACTCTATGTATTTGGAAGGAGATTTGCTGAAACGAAAATGGGAATCAGCTGATGGATCAAAACAAGTTGCAAGTTGTAATACCAAGAAGTAGAACGACCGAAATCCTTGATGAAATGCATGGCGGCCCTTCTGGGGGACATTTAGGAGTGAACAAGACCCTTGACAAAATACGAGAAGGATTCTACTGGCTTCACGTTAGAGAAGATGTAGAGAGCTGGTGTCGAAAATGTAACACATGCGCTTCAGTCAAAGGACCCAAAAGAAGGCTAAAAGGAGCAATGCAAATCTACAATGTTGGTGTCCCCTTTAAACGGATTGCTATAGATATCAGATTATGGAAACCGTTACATTCTGGTAGTAGCAGACTATTTCAGCAAATGGCCTGAGGTGTTTCCAATACCCAACCAAGAAGCATGTACCGTCGCTGAGGAAATTGTACTCAATTGGATTAGTCGATATGGTGTCCCATTGGAACTCCACTCAGATCAAGGTCGAAATTTTGAGTCACAACTGTTTGGTGAAATGTGCAAGCTGCTGGGTATAAACAAAACTCGAACAACACTTCTTCACCCACAGTCTGACGGTATGGTGGAACGATTAACCAAA